ACGTAGTACACATATAAGCAGTGAGAATGTTGAGGTACTCACAAAAATATTGCGATAAAACAACTCTAGTAACTCAAAATGCGATCGAGGGTGGGGAATGTCAGCTCTCCCACTTCAAATGCTCTCACATGGCTACGCGTATACAGATACTGACAGAAAAAACCTCCTCACTGCCTTTTCGTGGCAAGGGTGTTGTTTACGAAAATGAGAGGGAGAAAAGAGAATGTCCGGCGCTTTAACCGGATTCCAAACCAATGGTGCACATGGGCTCCAGTATCCTGAAGGAACAAATGGTGTGTGAACCAATTGTTGATCACTGGCTACCAAGGGACTGCATCTCCTTACGTTGCTCCACTGCCTTGTGGGTCAGACCTTTAGACCAAAGGCTCGGGTGTGGCCCCTAAGAAAACCACCTACTCCGTTCTGGGCAGCCGGACAGTATCACAGTCCATACACAAATAGAATGAAATGCCGATGCTTACTGAAAATACTATTCTCTCTTCGATTAAAAGTCAAACAATTCACATTATTATTATTTTTAACTACGTCACTTATTCACTCTCTTTTGTTCCCACTTTATGTAAACTTATTTTTCGACTTATACAGCAGCTCGCCCATGGTGGAAATTCGGTCCTATCTAAACGATCTAGAGTCACTGACTGGTTGAAAATTGAATGCTACCACCAAATACGAATACTGAAACGGCACCATCCAAACTGAGTGCCTTCAACGTTCGCACACTAATGCAGGTCGGTCAACAGATAGTGTAGGTTATGTCTTTAGAAAGCCTTAATATCGATGTTTATTGTCTATCAGAGACCCGTATTCAGGACTCTGGTGAAGTACTACAAATTCGCTCTCCCTCTGTCGCTTCAAAAAGCTTTTTCTACGTGCGTCTATCCGGGGACCCTGTGGCGTCTTCGTCTGGTCTTTCTGGCGTTGTTGTCGCACTAAGCGCTAGAGCTGAGGTAGCACTAATCGATTGGATCCCCATTAACAATCGATTATGTGCTGTTAGATTAGAAAGTTCCATCAAAGTGAGAAAAAATCGGCGTGAGAAACGATGTCTTTTTTTTTCATCTCCGCCTATGCCCCGACAGATTGCAGCCCGAATGCAATCAAGGATGAATTCTACCACCACATACTCACATGCATCAATCGTTTTACAACATGGCCCGAAGTCAAGGGCGGCGTGGTCTGCTGATATGGACGTGAGACTGAAGTCTCGTCCGTAGATGGTGCAGATGGCATGTGCTGTTGACCGGGACGTGAGAATGAGGTCTCTGATGTATCTAGCGTGGGACCTGAAGTAGATGTAAGGATCCCGCCAGTAGGTTTGATAGGTCTAGCATTGGGTCTCAAGTTATCGAGGAGGGCACTGTCATCGACGTGTGCTGGTTTGAGACGATCAATGCTGACGATCTCGACGCGGCCATGTCGATCAACCTTGAAGGTCTTTTCGAGATCGTTACTGTGGTGTGGAAAATTCCCCAGGCAGACGCAATTTCGTACCGTATACAAGTTCAGCGCTGAACATTTAATATCTGCCTGTAAGCTCGTTCTGATACTTAAAAGGACGAGCGGTAAGGTTTCGTACCAATTGTCGTTTTCGTGTGCTCAAAGAGCACTTTTAAGTTGGCGATGAAACCGTTCAACTAAACCATTTGATGCTGGGTGGTAGGCGGTAGTGCGTATGCGTTCCTTACCAAGCAGCCGGGTCAGTGAGGAAAATAATGCGGACTCGAATTGTTGTCCTCGGTCACTCGTGACAGTCGAGTGACAACCGTACAGCGCTATCCATCGTTCTGCGAAGCGGTGAGCTACTGTCTCCGCCGTAATAGACGTGATGGGAATAGCTTCGGGCCATCTTGTAAAACGATCGATGTACGTGAGTATGTGATCGTAATTGTAGGTTCACCATTTGTACGAACACTTGGCAATCGCAACCAAACCTTCTTAAAAAGTCAATTGCGGTGAGTCTGTTACTTATCTATCCACGTCTGTCGCATATTTTCATATTGATATTTTTTAATATATAATATTCTGGCAATAACTCGACATGACGGATAGCGATAGGAATATTATTAATGTAATAGACTCAGACGTACAGGCCATCCACTTTCGACCTGTCTCATTTATTCCCCACGACCCAGAGGTCTGGTTTGCCGCATTAGAGTCTCAATTCGAGACCCGCCGCATCACGAGCCAAGGGCAAAAGTATGCCTACGCCCTCGAAACATTACCTGGAAACTATATAGTGTCTGTCCGTGAGGTTGTCCACAATTCTAATATACCTAATGCTTATGATCGTCTCAAAGAGGCAATTATCAGACATTTCCTCCCATCGAGGGAGGAACGATTGAGGACATTATTAGCACGTCACCCTCTGGGTGATGCTAAGCCGAGCCACCACCTCACGCGCCTGCAATCTATTGCAAGACCTACGGCAGCCGACTGTGAAATTGTTAAAGAACTGTGGCTCGAATCATTACCACAATATATCCAACCTACAGTTACGGCCCTGCTCGAGGACTCACCACTCCATCAGGTGGCCCTCATAGCAGACAAAATACTAGCGAGGACTAGCAACAAAGACTACTGCATTGTAGTCTCAACGGCACGTACGAACGTAGACATAGACGCTAGTCACTCCTCGGCTCAAGGTGATATGGGCGCTTGTATTCACGCACGTCTTAGTTTTCAAGATCGTTGTAACGTACCCGAACCCTACGTCCCTTGAGCCATCACCACCTGCCCAACGAGGGCATCTTCCAAGCCACGCCGAAAAAGGCTTCGGAAGCGAGTGGAGGTTGGTGCTGGCCCCACCGATCCTTCGGGTCTGGTGCCCGCCGTTGTCGAGCCCCGTGCTCATACAAGGCAGGAAACTCCAAGGTCGGCGAGTAAAGGCGGCCGTGCTCGCCGGCCCTTCACCCCAGGTTGACCGTTTATTCTATGTGCACGATTATCGCACAAACGCTAGGTACCAAGTGAACAATGGTGCCCAAGTTTCTGTCGTACCTCTTGGTAACAGCAAGTCACAAGCTACAACGCTCCGACTACGCTCTGCGAATGGCTCAGCCATTCCTACCTATGGTACACGACAACTCGCGGTCAACCTGCGCAACCGACGACGGTATCTGTAGACGTTCACCATTGCCGAGCATATCATCAGATCCCAGTCGATCTTGAAGATATTGAGAAAAACGCTATCACGACTCCTTTTGATCTGTTTGAGTTCCTACGAATGCCATTTGGATTACGGAATGCTGCTCAAACTTTCCAAAGGTTTATCGATAGCATAGTACGAGACTTAGACTTTGTTCACGTCTATATAGATGACCTGCTAATCGCATCATCAAACGTAGATGAACATTATCAACATCTTACACTCTTATTCCAACGTCTCTCGAATGATGGAATAGTAGTCAACCCAGACAACTGTGAATTGGGCAAATCGGAAATAATGTTTTTGGGTCACATCATTAAGCATCAGGGTATTTTACCTTGTGAGGACAAAGTACGTGCAATAAGAGAGTACACCATACCGTCCACGCTCAAGAAACTGAAGGCATTTCTTGGTTTGGTTGAGTTCTACCGTCGTTTCATCCCACACGCGGCAGAACGGTTACGACCATTAACTGATTTATTTCGCGGTGAACCACGCAAATTAAAATTGAACGGTGCCGCACGTACTGCATTTTCAGAGATCAAAACGGCTCTGGCTGAAGTTACACTCCTCGCTCATTCTGACCCATCAGCCACGCTTAGTATAGCGGTTGATGCATCGGATTTTGCTATAGGAGCCGTTATGCAACAGAACATCTTCGGTAGTTGGCAACCTCTCGGATTTTTCTCACGACCCCTTATTTCCATGGAGACGAGATATAGCGCTTTTGGTCGAGAGCTGCTAGCAGCCTACTGTGCCACCAAACATTTCCGGCACGCAGTAGAAGGTCGCCATTTCATCTTATTCACCGACCACAAGCCTTTAACGTATGCTCTGCATACCAAATCTGACCGTTACTCACCTTGAGAATGCAGACATTCGGACTATATCTCTCAGTTCACGACAGACCTTCGTCACATCAAAGGCGAGTTGAACTACGTTGCTAATGCCCTGTCACGTATCCAAGTGAATGCAGTTACTTCACCGGTGCTCGATCTTCCTGCTATGGCTGCCGCTCAAGCAAACGATCCTTTTTGTACAGAGCACCACAATCTACATCCCTTCAGTGTCAGGAAGTACCCCTAGCTATTAGCTCAGGTACTATCCTACGTGATACTTCTACCGGTCTTCCCCGACCCATCGTACCCTCTGCTTACCGTCGTCTCATCTCCGATGCCCTGCATGGATTGTCCCATCCAGGTATCACATGGACAACTGTTAATAATCAGTTGTATCTTCTGGATGAAGGCTTTCGTAGTTCTCCAGTTTTCCACCTCATACAGTGGAACTGTCTTGACATTTGTATTGAAAATTCTGACTTTGGTGTTGGTTGACAGTTGCCTTGAGTTCCAGATGTTCTTCAGTTGTAAATATGCTGCTCTTGCCCTGTTGGTCTGCACTTTCACATCTGAATCAGATCCACCGTGTTCATCAATGATGTAAAGGTTATTACATCTTCCAAAGTTTCTCCGTCAAGTGTGATTTGATAGGTGTATACTGTGTCGTATCAAAGAATTTTGCTTTTCCCTTTATGTATATTGAGATCTACTGCTGCTACTTCACTGTTCGTCTTCTCTTGTATTTGTTGTTGTGTGTGTGCGATAAAAGAGTCAAATCATCTGCAAAGTCTAGATTATCCAGCTTCATCCTAGCTATCTACTTAATCCTATGTCCCCTCCCCTAGAGATTAACATCTTCATAATCTAGTCGATCACCAGTAAAAATCAATTACTATAATCACTAGGCTATTAATTTTTATTATTTCTATGCACAATTCACATGAGAACTATCATTCGTTACTTCTTTTTCAATTGTTTTTTTTTTTGTTTCCTAGTGAAATTGCATTTGTTCGTTATTTATCTAATACTTATGGTTTAAATTCAATTCAATCCGATGTATTATATCAAAATTTTAATTCATATTATATGGGTTATTATATTCATTCATGTTGTAAAATGTCATATAAATCACAATATGGTCCTGCTTATTTAGCATGTTCTGAAACCTATAATTGGATACCTATTAAACATTGTATACAATTATTAAATCAATTAAAATTAAATAATCATTATACAAGATTTTCATCTCTATCTTCAATTGATGTAAATTCAATTCCTGTTACTATGGATATAGATACATTAGATTCACATATTTATTTTATATAAAGTACAATGATAATACATCGTCATCGTCATCGTCGAAAACAATCAGTAGTAAAGAAGATTTCATGAATCATACACCAGTATCTCTTTATAATTTACGTTCATATTTAAATAAACAAGTTATTCCTATATTTCGTGAATGGGCTAAATTATTAGGTAAACGTGTATTATCTGGACATTTTCAAATTATTATACATTCAAATTAATAATAATAATAATAATAATAATAATAATAATAATAATAATATTATGATGATAATGGTTACCATGGTGATCATAATTAATGTGAAGAATAAATAGACAATAATACTTGGTAAGGATTATGTTTGATAATTATTTATTATTATTATTATTGCTATTTAATTAATATTTTTTATTGCTGAACTGATATTATTTCCCCAAGCCACCCCCCGAAAAAAATAACGATCACCATTATTGATAAAAACGAGAAACCAGGCATTTTTGGCAATATAATTATGTTATTGTGTCTCATTTTAAAACGATATTTATTTTTTCTTTGTAAACTAATTTATACATATACCGTGGTCTATATCAACAGCAGTAGTTAATCAATCACTTACAGAAGTGTAAGTGATATTGTAGTGTATACTACTGATATCGATAGATATAAGTAGTAGGTATCATTAATAGAAAGTGACAGGCTTGACGACAGAAGGTTAAGAAGAGAACGAGAACAAAGAATGATTGATATGGAAATGAAGGGACAATGAAGTTTGAGATGATTAATTGACATTTTACAAATACAGTATTTATTGTATGATTATTAGATTCTGTAATTTTATATTCAAATACATTTGGCTGTTCCTATTTGTGTTCTCGTTCACTATAATAGAAGTATTTACAGTACGAAATTGTTTTGAATGTTACACATGATTATTCAATAGTGAAACACACCAAATAAATCATTAATTTAACATCTGTACTACCTCATTCTTACGATATACGACTAAGTAAATCCGTTGGTCGATACGGAGGATCCTTACATTGCTCCATTGCCTTATGGATTAAACCTTTAGGTCAAAAGCTCCGGGTGTGGCCGCCTAAGAAAACCACCTGCTTCAGTTTGGGCACCTGGGCAGTATCCCGGCTCTCACATAAATCGAATTATTTATGTGGCGCATATCTGTTTGGTGCCTCTTATTACTGTCCTTGTAATCTAAAGTGGTTGTAACTGTGTTTTTTTTAAATCTGGAAAAAATGATTTTATCTAGTAATGCAACTTTTAAGTTCGTAGTTATGGTTTATCAACAAGGTGTCTGTAGTCCTATAGGAAAACATTTACACAACGCTAACAAGTTAATTGTTTTTAATTGTTCCCCATACCGATTTAAAAAGCGAATTCAACATACCGTTTCACTAGTACGTATTAATCTTCTCAAATGTTCACTGGGAACTAGGAGGTCAAGATAGATTTCCATTAAATGGGCCGTAAATAACAAGATAACATGTCAGGGATTTAAAAATAATCTCAGTAACCTCAGTTTTATTTATCATTGTGGACAGATACCTTCTGATCAATGTGTTGCATATTTCGTACGCTGCCAACTAAAAACACGGATAAAACTGCGTTTTCTGTGAACAAACATTTGTAAATTTTCCATGCTAATCAGTGGCGTGTGTGTGTGCCGTCAAAATGGCATATACATAGTGATTATTGTACATCATGTATTAACATAATGCCATTAAGCTATTAAGAATTTAATAGTGCGCTTTTTCACTCCTTAGTGACTCACTAATTGCCTAATATAGCAGCTGGTTCAAACATACTGAGTGTGGGACAAAGTATATTATTATTCACAAACATCTTATGGGTACATAAGTGTTGTGAAGAAACCATTTCGGGTTTCTACAAAAATGCAATAATACACAAGTTTCAATAATGTTAGCATTGTATCTAAATGTCAAGTTGATAGAGGGTTTCTGAAGGAGTATCTGGACTGAGGTTACGAATCGTCCGGGATTTATGAGCGAGTAGTTACTAAGTTCTGTATATGTACTTCGTCAGCGGCACTACAAATGACGAACAATTTCTAGAAGATTTACGCCTAGATCACTTTAAAATCAAGATAAAAGAATTACTCGTTATTATATGACTTGTTTAACAAACCAGTCGAAGTGTGTGTAAGTATTGTGACGATGATCAAACCTGAAAAGGTAACTAGTCGGAATGGGGCCACTAGGATGAGCGTAGTTGGGGCTTTGGGAATTAGTGTATAGGACTTATGAAGAAAATAGATCGCAAAATGTCTAGATACCTTAGGTTAATTACACTTCGGTTGAGGAAGAAGTCATATAATGGAATTTCCGCTAAAATATTACTTGCTGACATGCTTTGAAAATAAATTGTTGTAAACGGCATCCGACTCACATAGTTATGTATATGGTCCTTGTTTTGGGGTCGAAACACTGAGAAGCCTTAGTATATTTACTCCAAAAGATTGGTCGGTCTAGAAAGCTTTATTAAATTTTGTGATAATATATTTGATGAACTGCTTCAGGTGTAGGTTGAACAATTACGTACACCTAGAAAGACCGCCACCTTATCAATGGATGGTTAGAAATTTACTGTTTAGAAACAAGCTCCTGAGAACGAACAAATAACTGGGTTGGACACCAAATACATATTTATTAAGGAAGAGCGTTTAACAATCGTCTCCGATTAAGTATTACACTACAAATCATTTCAACAATTTAACCGATAAACCACCCAAATAAAAGTTCATGAATTCAAATAGTCAATGGATTCGATGTTCTATTTTATATTCGCTCCAGCTTTGCCAAATGTTCTATATTTGTCTTCTGTATTGAGGATTTGGGATTCGAACGAACAGAATTTAATGATCTTAGAGACTATTACAAATAACTACAAGACTAACGATTGAATTAGCACTTCGCTTAATATCAATGTGATTGGCTCAGAATGAAAAATACACATACATAAACGTTCGTAAAAGGTATTCGTCATATGCTAACAAAGAATAAGAAAAAGAGAATTCAGCGAAGAAAATTTTCTTTTCGACGAAATCATTTTCTTAAGTTGTACATTCATATATGTAGTTATATGGAAAATGTATGTCTATAGGAGGATAGAAAAAATTGCATCACAAAAATGGATATGAGGATAAATAACAAATGAGGTTAACGTACTAATCAAGGGGTAAGGAAGAAAACCGTTGATAATATCCGATTCTGTCAAATTCTCTAAAGAAACCGTTCGAAAAGACACAACTGGAAAAAAACGGAATTGTTGCTGATTAGAATACCAAGGAAGATGAATGATGAGTCTATTATTAATTGTGACCTCTTTGAATATCTTAAACCTTCTGGTTCCGTTGTACTAAGATTATATGGACTCCCAAAAGTTCATAAGAATAATGTCCCTCTACGTCCTATACTTAATATGAACAAGTCTCCATGTTAGTTGATATTTTACAACCTGTTAAAAATCATATCAATAAATATAACTCTCTTGATCCCTTTTACTTTGTCGGATCAATCAAAAATCTCAACGTAATTGGTAAGAAAATGATCTCATTAGATGTCACTTCGCTTTTTACAAATGTTCCTCTCACAGAAACTATATGTTTTTTATGTGACTATATTGAAAACAATAACCATGATATATGTATCCCTAAACATTATCTAAAAGAATTACTTCTACGATGTACGCTCAACGTGTAGTTTAGATTTAATGATGTCTTCTATAGACAAACAGATGGAGTTGCAATGAGTTCTTCATTGGGCCCTCTCTTGGCTGATTGCTTCATGGCCAATCTGGAAAATTCTGTACTTCGTCCAATAATTGAGAGATTTCATCTACATTAGAGATATATGGATGATATTTTCATTATTTGTGAAGAAGGCATTGACCTAGATGAAATTTTGAAAAGTTTCAATAACTACCACCCCTCAATTCAATTCACCTTAGAAGGAGGGGCAAATACTGAATTTCATTTTCTTGATGTCTGATTAAAAAGAATGCCTGATGGTTTTTTACAGTGATCTATATATAGAAAACCTACTTGGAATGGGCAGTACATTAATTTCCATAGTTGGGTTTCATTGAGTAGAAAGAGGAACTTAATTCACTCTTTATCCTCTAGGATCAAGCGAATCTGTTCCACTGACACAATAGATGAGGAACTAATTCAACTTCGACAAACTCTCATCAGAAACGGTTATCCACCTAGATTTGTCGATAGTAACTTAACACCTAGAATTCATCATGAGGAAGTATCGACAGTACAAAAGAAAACCCTATTCATGAATATGGAATTTAAAGGAGACACGGCTGCTGAAATCTTAAATAAACGGATTTCAAAATCATTGAATAAAACTTTCCACACAGCCAAGCCTCGAATTGTCTTCTCAAACCGGCCTACCATTCCTGGATGTGTTAAAGATAAACTTTCGCTTTGGGCCACATCAGTGTGTATTTATAAATTTGCGTGCTCGTGTGGAGCTCGTTATATAGGCCAAACAAAGCGATCACTTTCCAAACGCATTTCAGAACACTACCCAGCTTGGCTTTTAAAAGGAGAATGTAAGACAATCACTAGTTCTATACAGGAACATTTAATCAATTTTGGACACACCGCTCCCAAGTATTCTTTTAAAGTGATCTATAGAGTCAAAGGGATTGGATCTAAGGGGTGTCGAATCACTATTTTATGCACTGCTGAGGCACTAGCAATTCACGAACTCAGATCCGAACTTTGTGTGCAGAAACGATTCCTCCAACCTCTCACCCTTCCTTAACTCTAATTTCTTTAATGGGTATGTTTCTGTTTTTGTTTTGTTTTTTCTGCACTTTTATTTGATTGTTATCGAATTTTTTTAAAAAAATTATTTTGCATTTTAAACTCTAATTAGTGGTTATTATTACCGTGTGCAAGTTTTCTTGAGCATTATTCAGTCTATTATTATGACCTTTGTGTTTGTCGCTTTTCTTCATATTTGTCAATTGGACTATTATCTGACCCATAAACGATTTCCTTCCTTACCTCTTGATTAGTACGTAACCTCGAATCCATTTTAGTGATGCAATATTTCCTGTCCTACTATAGGCATACATTTTCCATATCTAACTAATTATACGAATGTACAGTTTAAGTAAATGAGTTTGTCGATAACAAAGAATAAATGAATTAAGATTGCTAGTTACTATTTATGGACTATCGTTAGA